TCACCTGACAGTGGACAAAAAAGTAGAGAGACAGTTAGGAGTCTATTCTAGGGGAACAAAGTGGTGGGTGGAATGGGCTACTTACGGGGACAACTTCTCAGATAGTCACCAAGGAACTGATCTTCCTCTTTGATGTGTCTTGGTTTCTCCCAAGCAGCAGTCTAAAACTGCTGTAGGGGTTTGTCACAGCACTGGATGATCAATCCTTCCATGTGCATTCCTGGCCGAGCCAGAAATTAGTTGCCATGAGACAGAGTTCCCTATAGGACTGTTCCCTTCAGGGAAAAGAAGCAAGAGTCCCATTTCTTCAGAGCTAGTGACTCAGTCTCTTATGCCAACCAACAACCTTGAAATTGTCCAGAAGCCAGAGTGGAGAGAGTTTGTGGTGAAAGTAAAACTTGGAGCCAGCAGAGCACACAGAGAGCAGGAGGAACCTCCTGTGGTCATCTGAGTTACTAGCCCGGGGAAATGCACCAGTGAGCCCTGGTGCACCACCATGAGATCCTGCTCTGTCTTGGGATCCCCGGAGGTGGTGTCAGAGCACCAGGAGAGGAGAGAGTGAGAACAGGTCCCCAGACATGTTTTTCCACATTTCCTTCTTCCCAGAGAACAGTCCAGTTCACAGAAAAAGTACAGAGATAGGAAGTAACCCTGTACTTTCCAACTCTGTTTCCCAGAGGAGGAACATACCAGTACCCCTGCATGGTGAGGAGGTCAAATTGTACTACACAGATGTAGTTTGGGGTACCGTTGTTCCTCTAAGGGTTCCTTCATGTCATCAAAATATGATGCGGGTAAGCCAGGTCCAAGGACCCAGAGGAGGGTCCTTGGCTTTGTGCAGGATAGAAATCAAACGTGAGCCAGAGAAAGTGAAAACAGAGTTTATTGAGTGGTGTGACAGGTAGAGAGTAGCAGATGGAGGTCTGAGAGACTCAGAAAGGAAAGAATGTCTGTCACTTGGGGTTAGGGGTTTGTATTGGAAGGGAGGAATCTAGGGTACATGTTCCCCCGGGGAATCCAGGGTAGGATCCGACCAAAGGTGTGTGTCAGGTGAACTATAGGTGTTATTCCATAAATTACCGAAGGTAAGGGGTTTTGATGCCAGTGTAACCTAAGATTTGTTTGAAGCTAATGTCCTAGAACATGCTTGGGATCTGGATCTTCTTAGATGTCATCAGGTGTTTGGGGGCCTAGGACAAAACTCAGGAAAGGATTAACTTTCTTGCTTCCTCCTTGAAGTGAGAACATAGCTGCTTGGGCTTCTTCAGAGGCAAAATATGGAATACAAGTAAATGAGGCCTAGCAGAAAAACAGCAGGGATGGAGCCCTTATAAAATGGAACCCTTTAGGGGTCCCACCTGGGTAGCTACCCACCTGGGTAGCTCAGTTAAGCCTCTGACTTGATTTTGGCTCAGGTCATGATCTCATGGTCATGGGATAGAGACCCGAGTAGGGCTCTGTGCTGAGTGTGGAGCCTGCTTGTTTCCGTTTTCCCCCCTCTCCTGCTCATGTGCGCACATGCTCTTTCTCTCCAATAAATAATAAACCAAAACTTTCTTTGAAAAAGTAATAAATAAAAATAAGTGGAGTCCTTTTAGCCCTCCTACCTCACTGAGATGGCTGAAATACCTTTGTGTAACATAAAGGAAGAAATTCAAAGACTGAGATAGACATGTTGAGTGAATGAATCATGTCTAACTCACCAACTTACCACTACCCAACCAGGTCCCCCAAGATAGAGGGGGTGTCAGAAAATACTCCCTCAACAAGGCCTTAGAAATACACTGGTGTATTTGTTAGGATTGATCTTGGTTGTAATAGGTACCCTACTCAGAGAAGTAATCAAGAGGTTTATCTGTCTCTGGCATATAAAAAAATCTGGGCATAGGACATCTAGGGCTAGTAGGTCACCTCAGTGGTGCTCTCAGGGAAACAGGCTCCTTGTGTTCTTGCACTGCCTCAGTCACCCATGGTTCTCACCTTCATGTTTGAAGATGGTTGCTGCATCTCTAAAGGTTGTGCCCTCATTTCAGGAAGAAAGCCTGTCCCAGGGATTTCTATTTCCTTGTGCTATCTAGAACTATGTCACATAGCCATGTGTGGCTGTAATGGAAATCACGTGACTCAGTAATTCACTTGCCAAGGAGCATAGGAAGGCAAGGGAGAGAGTGCTGGAAAGATTGTTGAGTGACTCTGTCCGTAGAAACTGTGACAACTGGTGGGAGATGCAATTGATAGGGAGACACTGCAGTACAAATGGGCTTTCTGGTTTCAGTGGGGATGAGTGGATCCTGGGATAGCAGAGACCAGGTAGCTGCAATGTGTGAAGCCAGGTGGATGTGGCTACCATAACCAGAAGACAGTGCATTTATTACAAGGGTCTGACCCGCAGGGTTCTTTGGTGCTGCCCAACTAATTGTGGGGTCCTGAAGACCAAAATAGATGGTCAAAGATCCTATTTGATTTTTAGAATTTAAAAATCTTCCACTTAATAAACAAAGGTCTGACTGGAGTCGTCACAACATAGTCATGGCACCTGACCCAGTCTCAGGTCTAGGTCAAAGAAAGAGGAAGCCAGGTGCCTAGGGAAAGGGCCCTGAAATAGCATCATAAGTACTTGCTATGGATCTTGCTTCCTCCAAGTTTTCCCCAAAGGACCTGAAGCCACTCACCAGACCATTGTCCAGGTATCCTGAGAAATAACCAGACATTCTGGGGATTATCAGAGACACTGGGCCTGTGCTAATGTTAACTCCTGGAGACCCAGAACTCCACTGTGACCTACCCGTCTAAGTGAAGGCACTGTTACTATACTAGCCCTGATGACCAGTGGACACAGAAAACCCTCCAAGGCAGCAGAATTTTGGAGCAACATGTCTCTTCCATTGTGGCAGGAGGTAGAGATGACTGATATAAAAATCCATGCTAATCCATAGTCTGTGGCTAATAACCTGGTGATCAGAGATTTGTGAGAGCAGGACTAGAGCACTGGCAGTGAGGAGGTCTGCAGGAAAAATATGGTCAGATTTCTTAGAATGAGCAGAGGGGAAGAAGCAGCAATTTGTCCTCCCTGGAGGGGCACATTCTGGAATTGGGTTTCCTTTGTCCTCCAAACTTCTACCAATACCATCTTTCAAGGACTCACTCGCATGTTTTTATGTTGTTAAGTTATCCCATTGGACACTTGCTTTCTGATCACAAAATTTTCTTCACATTGAAGAGGAAGATGGTAGGCTATACCAGCAGAATTCACTATATTCAACATAAACACCCAGCACCCTGAATCAGCTGGCCTTCCAAGGAGACTGCAATTTGTGAGGTTGGAATAAATACAGTAGAGTTGTTATATGCTGTGAATCCATGACCATGGCCTCTATATAAGCAAGGGTCTGGGAACTAAAGAGGAAGGGGGATAGCACTCCTCTGTTAATACCTCAGTGACCCAAAATCTCTGCCTCCATTCCCTGTGATTCTGGGCTTTGCTGACTGAGAGGTGAGCAAAGGAGAAATACAAGAGGAACACAGTGATGATTCCAGTGGTTTGGAAGGTGTGGGAGGGTTAGAGTGTCGGCTGAGTGAACAGTCTTGCTGCTGCATGATAAAGGATGGGAGAAGTATGAATGGAACCCTGTGGTAATACTAAATATAGTAGGAGTTAATGGAAGATTTCTGTGATAATAAACAGACCACCAGTAGCTCAGATGGCAATGAAGGTTTAGACCATTCCACCTACTAAAAGACTAATCCACTGATGTTCTGGCTGAACTCAAAGAAACATGGAATAAGTAACTGAAGACAGAAATCAAAAATACCATGGGCACCTGGGTGGCTCAGTCGGTTGAGCGTCCAACTTCAGCTCAGGTCATGATCTCGCAGTCCGTGAGTTCAAGCCCCGCATCGGGCTCTGTGCTGACAGCTCAGAGGCTAGAGGCTGCTTCGGACTCTGTGTCTCCCTCTCTGCCCCTCCCCCACTCATGCTCTCTCTCTCCCTGTCAAAAATAAATAAGCTTTAAAAAAAAAAAAAAAGAAAAAAAAAGAAATCAAAATTACCAACCATGACCTCATGATTAATTGTAGAAAGGGCAATAGTTGCTGCCTGTACATTTTTCTTTGCTGTTTCTCTCTTTCTTTTTTAAATGTTTACTTATTTATTGGGAGGGGAGAGGGTCAGAGAGGAGAGAGAGAATCCCAAGCAGGCCCTACACCACCAGTGCAGAGCCCGATATGGGGCTTGATCTCACAAACCGTGAGATCATGACCTGAGGTGAAGTCCAGAGTCAGATGCTCAATGGACAGAAACACACAGGCAACCCCTCTTTGCCATTTCATGTATTTATTTATATACTTCACCTAACTTTCTCCCTTTTCCTTTCTCCTACTGCATTACTATACACAGTTTGTGTTGATGGTGGCTCAGTTTACATCTAGTTCACAGATCAGAGAACATCCAGACAAAGTCATGATGGATCAGGGGGGGAATGGACCTCATTTAAGATCTTGGCCTTGGAACTAGATGTAGTATATTAAGGGGGATACGATCTCATTTCTGGTGGTGGGAATAACTGAATTTATTTGGAATTGTATGTAAAGTCTACATGTTCTGATAGAAGAACAGAGCATTGGATCAGTAAATAATAGGACATTTTCAAATGGTCAAAGGTGCTAAGTATAAGATTTGTCAAACGCAAGGAAGATGTTGAATATGTGAGTTCTAAGAAATGTATTTTCCTCAAATGAGAAAATAATTAGTTACACCATTAAGACAATATTTTTTCACTAAGGATTTAATTTAGATTTATAGGAAATAAGATAATCAGTTATAAATATCCCAATTTATTCTACAGAATTAATCTCAAGTAATCCTGATTATGACATAACCACAGGTTTGCCAATCTGTGATTTTATAGATTAACCTAATTTGTTAAAAAGAAATTTACAGATCCCATTTTTACTGTCACAACATAGGAACAAGCCAGCAAAAACAAAATCAAAAGTATGTTTTATGCTAGAGTTACTTTCTGTCCAGGTCGAAACATTGTTCCACTTTGATTCTTTCTTTTCTTTGGATTTTGGAAGCTTTCATACCTTAAAAAGAGATAATATTTAATACATGTAAATTCTAAATTACAAAAGACAAGGAATTGTTTGCAAACAGATTATATTTTAAGAAACAAAAGGGAAATAACTGGGGGAAGAAAACCTAACAAATAATAGTTCTTAAATTTTCTAAAGTTAAACATTCCAATCAAAAAAGTAGCAAAAGGGATAAAGAGACAAGTTAGAAAAGATAAAATGCACATGGCAGTGACATGAAAAAAACCCTACTGTTTTAATCAAAGGCATGTAAATTGTTAGATTTTTTTCCAGTCACACTGGCCAAGTTTAGAAAGACATTATGCCCAATGTTAGTGAGGGTTGTGGTGAAACTGGCCCTTTCCATGTATTGGGCTGTACAGTGTTTCTAGAAGGCAACTGATCTCAAAAGCCATAAAAACAAAATGTATCCTATGCTCCAACAATTCCACCTCAAACTCAGATAATGGAGGATATGTGCAAACATTTGGCTCTAAGGAAGTTCTTTATCATATTAGTGTAATAGGGAAAATCCGGAAGCAACTTAAATATCCAAATATTGGAAATTGTGGCCTAGCCATACTATAAAATGACATTAAAAACCAAGCAGTAACATTTAAAATGTGAAAGAATGTTCAAGATGGATGAAAGCGGGCCTGCTATATGGCAATACGTGCAGAGTGTTTTAGTGAAGAAAAAAAAAAACATACAAATGTATACTTTGGGAGGGGTGGGATTAAGGGAAATTTGTTTTCTTATTCTTTATTTTCTGATTTTTCTACAGTAAGCACATATTACTTATACATGTTGAGGCGGAGCAGAAGCGCCACTCTGGCATGTAGACTATTTTGAGCTGAAGGAGATCAAGACCCAGCAGATTCAGGAGAAGCTTTTTCCCTCCCTTACCTGACTGATGAGTTTAGTTTCCTATTACCAGAGAAGACTTTTTAATCTGCAAGACTGACAGCAGGGCAAACATCTGCTCTTTTCACCTTCTGTGAATTCCTGCCTCCCCTTTGAAGCCCCAGGCCCCTAACCTCTTTCTTTAGTTCAGGATGGCATATCTATTTTAATGGAGCTCCTGTATGTAAGAAGTTATTTTTCTCCTGTTACTATCTTAGGTCAGTTAATTAATAGACCAGCCAAAGAACAAGAAGGGAAGAAGGGAAAATCTTTCTGCCTTTACAGTGTACCCACACATGCCCACCCCAACTACTACAAAATTAAAGAGTTGTAACTTCTAGAACCGGGAATAAACCTTTCTTGCACTGAATTAAGTGAAATCCTTAACGTGAATGGTCCCCAATCTATGGGTCTCCAACTTCTAAGGTGCCCAGAGACAACTGCAAGAAGCCTGTAAATCTAAATGTGTGCTGGCCACAGTCCACAAGGGAATAAATTCGAATGCATTTAAAGAAAGTAAAACAGGTATATTTTTCAGAACAATTTTTACAAACTATATTGGAATCATTTTGAGATTTTAATTTTCCTTTTATTCAAAGCTTTAAAAATGAAATCAGGGGCGCCTGGGTGACGCAGTCGGTTAAGCGTCCGACTTCAGCCAGATCACGATCTCGCGGTCCGTGAGTTCGAGCCCCGCGTCAGGCTCTGGGCTGATGGCTCAGAGCCTGGAGCCTGTTTCCGATTCTGTGTCTCCCTCTCTCTCTGCCCCTCCCCCGTTCATGCTCTGTCTCTCTCTGTCCCAAAAATAAATAAACGTTGAAAAAAAAAATTAAAAATGAAACCAGTTCATTATAAATAATTCAAATATAATCAAGTGAACCAGTTAATGAAAATTCATTTTTTACTTCAGTACTCTTTAAGTTTTGGGGTATTTAAATGCATAGCTATTGGCTCGAAGTGGCCTTTTATATATTCACTATAAGTAGCTTCAAAAGTTTAAGTGAAGAACTGTCACCCTGTAATATCTGTACTTCTGAAGGAGAATCGGTTACTTACAGTTCAGCAAAATTCTTCCAGTCGTCTTCGCTAATGGATGGCCTTGTGTGACTGAGGGCGGCCATTAAATGCGACTGGCTAATAGCCACACTGGTTTTGACTGGTCCTGGTTGGTTAAGGGAGTCATCCTCCTTAAACAGAAAAGGACACAAAGTTAACCTAGGGCTGTGATGGAAAAAGTAGCAGCCCATGTGTTGTTTCTTTCCATCAGGTTTTTTTTAGGAGACCAAACATTCTCTTTCTCATAAGATTAAAAATTGTTTGAAAGCAGAATGCATATAATCAAATGGTCAATGTGTTTCAGTCCCTTCTTTATAAATAGAGCTCATTTACTAACCAAAACACACATCAAAAAAGGAAAAACAGTTTTTACAGTTTTTACAATTTTCATGGGGTTGGGGGGAGAAAAGCCATACTCCACTTTGGCTCCGGTATCTGCCTTTGATGACACTGATATCTGCCCGTAGCTGATCTCTTTGTTCCTGTGTAAGTTCTTGGGAACCCTCTTGTGAGGATGTTCTGAACACTGGAGGTCGTGAAAACGACTGGTCTTTCCCAGGGACTCCAGAAAAGTCCTGTGTCATGGAGCTTGGTGCAGACAGGCACTGTGAGCTCTGCAAGGTTAAGTGTAGGAAGGAGAGAAGGGGAAGGAGAAAGGAGGAAAAGAGAGGGAGAAAAGAAGTATATATTTACCAAGGCTAAATTTAAACATTTTAAGCAGTAAAACCTTAACATGGACAAGCTTACATTTGAATTAACTGGAATTAATAAGCAAGTTCAAAATATGTTTATCTTCTATATGTCATTCAACCATCATAAAGTGAAAACTGCCATAACACAAAAAACTGTTTTAATGCTTTTTTATTAAATTCACCACACTAATGTCCTAGCGACAGGTTCCAAATGTGCCTTATTCTCAGTTTCAGCAAATAGAGTTAATTCTAGTATAAGGTTGGAGAACATAGTACAGAAGTTAAGAAACAGAAAACAGAATTAAAGACTAGAAATAAAACAACAAAAACAACAGCTTACTATTCTTTGAAAGAAAAATGGTTTACTTTTACTTTTTTTTAGAGAGAGCACAAGCTAGAGAGATGGGCAGAGAGAGAGAGAAAATCCCAAGCAGGCCCCACACTCAGTGCAGAGCTTGACCCTGGGCTTGAACTCATGAAACCATGAGATCATGACCTGAGCTGAAATCATGGATGCTTAACCGACTGGGCCACCCAGGTGCCCCAAAATAGTTCATTTTTAAATTAAAGCAGATGTACAAAAAACAAAAATATAACTGTTACTTGTACCAATAAAGTAATCGTGAACCACAGTAAATAATTTGCGGACATGTGTGAAATGCTATTTTAATTTAGAAAAGCAAGGATATCACCCACAACATTTTCATTGTTGCAACGTTACATCAAATTTCTCATCTTCAATTATCTTAATGATAATAGAGTTTAATATAAATAGAGTTTAATATAAAATGGATCTGCGACCAAAGATGTTTTAAAACAACTAATGAAGGAGATAATAAACCTGCGAGGAACCAAAGGGTCCTCACCACCAGTGGCTACTTTGGCTCCCTCTTTGTTGCCAGCTACATTTCACAGCTCTTAACGAGGAATGAGATGATTCATCAGTGTGAGTAAGGGAAAACAAGACTACTTCACTGAAGAACCAACCAACCAGAAAGTACATGTGGGACAGGTTAGGGGGTAAGTCACTGTCCAACTGGACACACTATGGCTTTACGCATCAGAACCGTACAATGGCGACTGAACATGATACCAGATCAGAAGATGTTCCGTTCCCGAGTTCTGATTCGTAGGAGCTTCCAAAGTAGAGCCGGTACATATTGAATTTTGATTCATCTGGAAGCATCTCAGACAACTCTAGAGAAACCAGGGACTGCTCCAAGCCACACTCTCCATCTCCAGCTGAATCATCGGAGCCGCTGCTGTGGTTGAGAAAAACCATTGAAGACAGACTTAGGTCACTATCAGAGCTGGAACTTCCATCCTAAAACACACAAAAGGACAACAGTTGTAAAAATCTAAATAATCTATGACTCTGAAATTAGCAACACAGATAGCATTTTAACAGACCAGTACGAGGAAAACCAGAGGCATTTTCCAAAAAAGCTCTTATTTTTTTGGTGAGGTTCTTGTCCTCTATGATCCCCACAGACCAGTACGTATGGCACGAATGGCAAAGGTGTTACAGCTCTCCCACACCCAGAATACAACAGTTCTGAGAGCCAGGCACCAACTATGTTTCTTTTGTGCAAATGCTGTTTAGGCCATTATTAATATGACTCAGTGGCAGATTAAGTAGGCTGCCTGATTATGTAACGAATCCTTACCAGCAGACAGCACATGATCAGGCTGTCTGACGCTTACAGAAAGAAAACAACCAGCATTCAGGAAACATGCATTGGGCCAAACTTTGGCTCTTACTACTTTTCTAACGGTTGAGGCACATAATAAAATTTAATTATTAAAATAAGATGGAATGTGTACATAATTTACCAACCATCTCCCCAGGAACTCTAACAAAGCTAGGATTCATACCTCTGAATTTTATTTGTATGAATCTTTCAACTGTGAAATGATGAGTCAACCACGTCATGCAGTGCTTTGTCATTACAGAGTGCTTTATACATGAACATGTTTTCTGTTAGTGAAGAGGGTGGAGAAGTTCAGTGACTTGCCAAAATAAATAGCAAAAACTTGGTAATATCTGATTTAGGAACTTTAGGCCCTGCAAGAATCTCAACAAAACATAGGGGAGAGGAGTACACAGGAAAACCCTTCCTAGAAACTATGCAGTAAAGTCCATAATGTAGCAGAGGTCAAATTATCTGCTGTAAAAATACTATCCCTAGAGGAAAAGACTGATGTTAGGTCTGGGGTACAGAAAGTACAAAATACAGCTAGAATACCTTGTTGTATCAGGAAGAAAGTACATGATCAAAGAATGAAGAGGACAAATCAAAAGGACACAGAGGCCATCTAAAAGCAGCTCCTATGGGCCAGATCTGGGACTATTTGAGCTTCAAAATAAATACTCTGATTTTTTTTTTTTCTTAAGTGTAAAACTAACTAAAAATCTCAATATATTTCTGTTCCTATTCTCTCATTCATGATGTCCCAATTTAAATAATATCCTTCCATTCCCTAACATATTTTGTCAGTAGTAAGGTAACATTAAAGAAACAGACACTTAAATACTTCATAATTACAAGTTCTCTGCAGAGCCAATATTCCAACTATGGAACACTTGACTACAGGTAAATTTGTATACAGTTTTACTAAAGTTGTTAAAAAATAGGATTTTTTTAAGGTTGGAATTTTAACCGTGAACTGCTCTTCTTCCTCTTGAAACACCACAGCAATGATCTCCTATAACTTACTTGGAGCCCACAGAACAGCAGCCTTCCCTGTAAGGCCTCTAACTGGGCATTGTACAGTAAAGCTTTCAGGTCAGCTCCCGTGAAGGAGTCGGTTACTGATGCCACGTGCTGAAGGTCCACATCATCTGCCAGAGGTAGAGAGTCACTGAGAACATTTAAAATTTCAAGACGTGACACCTGAAGGGAGAAAAACTAATTGACTTAACAAATAAAACAAAATTAAATATTAAACTGTGTATTTTATGTTTTTGTTTTTACAAATTAACTGTATCTCTAATGAGCTTTTACAAGTTGAAAAATGTACCACCAATCTACTATGTATCCTCTGTGGAGGATAGATGAACTTTCTCCCTAACAGAAGAGACATAGGAAAGTGAATGAAAATCGACATTCTTAACCATTCAGTGTAAATCATTTCTTAGTGCTTATTTTCTAGATTTCAACAAATGTGCCCAGAAAGTGTTTCAAAAGAAACCATCCAAGTAATAGCTACAAATGACATATTTAGATATTTTATACCTTCGACAATTCATTTGTCTATTTGCTCTTTCCCTCATTTATTCATCAGTTTCTAAATCTGAGGACAAGAGCTGGAACAACACAGACCAGAAACAGTTAAAACCTCATCTCTGTGTAACCTGCTTAATGCACACTAGTCGTACGCTTGATTCTCAGAGTCTTGCCAGGATAATGAGGCCTGTGATCTTTGAGCACAGGGCATGTGGACATACATACTTTAGGTTTCTTTCCTTTTTTCCCAACCTGCTAACACTGAAAGACTACAAAGTTTTCAGACTTGCATGGAAATGGCTGGGCTTTCCATCTAATTCAGAATCCTTCCATGCCATGAGCAAATCATGGCAAAGGCCTTGCCTAAAGCTGGTCTTCTAAGGACAACTGCTGTTACCAGGAAGAAGTTCATAAGGAAAGAGTGTGGCATTTGTTAGTTTTGGACTCAAAGTATGAAACTGTCACCTGATCAGGAGGAGGACAGTATACACATTTATCGAGTCGGCCAGGCCTAAGCAGGGCAGGGTCAATCAAGTCAGGGCGACTAGTAGCAGCCAATACATAAACACCTGGGGAAAAAAAAAATTCTTTACTAAGTCCTGGTGAAATCTGTTACAATAAGATATTTCTGTATTTGCAGTTCTTACCCTGTAAGCCTTCTACCCCATCCAACTGAGTCAGCAGCTGGTTAACCACACGATCTGTAACTCCTGTATTATCATGGCCTCGTCGAGGGGCAATGGATTCAAATTCATCAAAGAAAAGAATGCAGGGCTTGGCTGCCTGTGCTCTGGGAAAAACAGTATTTCATATTTGAATAGGGCTTCGGTGTTTGTAAAGTAATTGTGTGTGTGTGTATACATATATATATATAGGTACATATATGTATCTGTATACAGATAGACATATGTATCTGTGTATTTATTTAAATCTTCATAACAAATCCTTAAAGAATAAAAAGTATATGTAAATTTGTTTTCAATAAATAAGTCAAGATGTATGCCTAAGACTCATACCTTCTAGACAGGGACTAAACCAAAAACTAGAGTCTTATTCAATAAGTGAAATGTTTCTTTGATTCTTATTGTAAGTAAGCATTTCTTATATGCTTATTGGCCACCTTTACTTCTTTTGTGAAATACTGATTCACGTCTTTTGTCAAGCTTATTATTTTAAAATTTGACAAGCTCATTATTTTCACATATTTTTATAGGGGATCTCTATAAAATATATTTTAGTTACATATATTGTATCTTTTCCTAATTTGAACTTTGCTTTTAATTTATTAACTAAATTTTGTTTTAATGAAAAACAAATTCCATACCTGGTAACAGGGTGAACTAGATGTCTGAAGAATCACCCATACAGAATACCCATACAGAATACTTGTTGTGCTGATTTTTTAATTTCAAGTTTTTAAATTCTAGTTAGTTAACCTATATGGTAAAATTGATTTCAGTAGAACATAGTGATTCACCATTTATGTATAACACCCAGTGCTCATCCCATGTGCTTTCCTTAATACCTATCACCCATTTAGCCAATCCCCACCCCTCCTCCCTCCACCAACCCTCAGTTTGCTCTTTATAGAGCCTGTCAGGCTGAATGAAAAAAACCCAATACATAGCTCATGAAATACTGGCACATAAGATAAATCTCCCAGGGCCAATAAGTAGATTGGAATTACCTGTTCCTTGAAAGTTTACTCTCAGAAAACCATGTTTGATTTGGGTAAAGATTTTTAACTAGTGACTCAATTGTTTTCTATAGTTACAGGATTTTTCAGATTTTGTTTCTTCTTTGCTTGATTTTGGTCAATTATATTTTTGTCTATGTCACCCAAGTCTTAAATGTATTAACAGCATAAAGTTTGTAATATTATTCCATAATATTCCCTTACTATCTTTTACATTTCTGGTATAACTTTAGTCATATCCCCTTTTTTATCACTAATACTATTAATTCATGCTTGCTTTCTTTATCAGTCCTGCTGGAGATCTATCAATTGTACTAGGCTGTCAAAAATATCTGGGCTTATGAACTTTTCCACTGAAATGTTTTCTAGTTCATTAATTTTTGCTCTTATTATTTCCTTTTTACTTATTTTTTTAGCTTATATTTTCCTAATTTCATGAGATGGATACATAGTGATTTTTAACTTTTTTTCCCCTAAAAATTTAAGGCTATAAATTTTCCTTGGAATAAATTTTGCAGCATCTCACAATTTTAATAGCATTTTCATTATTATTTAGTGCCCAGGATTTTCCATTATGATCTCTTCTTTCACCCATGAATTATTTAGAAGAGTTTTATTTTTAAGAATCTAAAAGTACATGAGGGGATTATCTTTTTGTTATTTATTTTAACTTGTGTTTTCAAAAAATAGACTGTATGATACTGTTTCTTTGAAACTTACTACAGTTGGCCACCCATGTGGCCAATTTTCAAAAATATCCGAGTGTGCTTAAAAAGAATGTACTCTCCAGTTGTTGGGTATGTGTTCTAAATATGCTTAGATCTTGAATATGATGTTTAAATCTTCTGAAGTTTTACTGTTTTGTTGGTTTTTCTTAAACCTCAATCTAACTACTTACTAAGAACTATGTGAAAGTCTTCTATGAAGGTGGATTTATCAATTTCTCCTTGCAATTCTATCAATTTTTGCCTTTATTAAATAGTTTGAAGCTAGGGTATTGGATACAATTTTAGAACTGTAATATCCTCCTGGTAAACTGAATCTTTTGTCACCATATGGTGACGACTGCCTTTATCTCTAATAATGCTTTCCTATTAATGTTCTTAAATTGGGTGGTGGATATATAAGAGTTCATTTTATTTATTTTATTACTATTTATTTATTTATTTATTTATTTATTTATTTTAGAGACAGAGAGACACAGAGTGAGTGGGGAAGGGGCAGAGAGAGAGAGGATGAGAGATAATTTTAAACAGGCTCCACACTCAAAGCAAAGCCTGACACAGGGCTCAATCTCATGACTCATGACCTGAGCTGAAATCAAGAGGCAGACATTTAACCGACTGAGCCACCCAGGTGCCGCCAAAGAGTTCATTTTAGTTAAAATGTATATGAGGCGGCACCTGGGTGGTTCAGTGGGTTAAATGTCCAACTCTCCATTTCAGCTCAGGTCATGATCGCATGGTTCATGAGACTGAGCCCCACATCAGGCCCCATTGACAGCATGGAGCCTGCCTGAGATTCATTCATATTCTCTCTCTCTCTCTCAAAATAAATAAACTTGGGGCACCTGGGTGGCTCAGTTGGTTAAGTGTCTGACTTTGGCTCAGGTCATGATCTCGTGGTTCGAGACTTATTTTAAAATAAATATTTTAGAAAATTATGAACTTGAAGCACCTGGGTGGCTCAGTAGGTTAAGTGTTTGACTTTTTGGCTCAGGTCATCATCTCATGGTTTGAGACTTATCTTAAAATAAATATTTTAAAAAGTTATAAAATATAAGGACATTATATTCTCCTAACTACAGATCATATTTTATAATGAAATTTTGGGATAAAACAGTAGTTTTTGCATTTAAAAATTTTACTTTAATCCTTAAATATTATCTTCTGTATTTTTATATAAATGCCATAATAATTTTATCTCTTTTATAAATTAACATTGCATTTGGCCAACTTAATTAAACTGGAGTAATTATGTGTTTCCCATAAAAATCTACTTTGAGATTCCTTTGAGATAGCATTTTAGGAATATTTCTATTGTAAATATAATACTAACTTCCAGAATTTAATATCAAAGATGTTATATTTTAAGTGATATCTGGAGAATTCTCTAGCTTATTAATCCACATAAATTAAAGTTTTAAACATCAGTTCTCTAAAATAAACAAGTGAATACCAAAAAGCACTGAAAAATGATAGTGTCCATTACTTAAAAAATATTCAGAGGGAACCAACCTAATAAAAATATCCCGAACAGCTTGTTCACTTGCTCCAATGTATTTGCTCAGTAACTCTGGCCCCTAGGAGATAAAATTAAATTAGACCTGAGATAAAGTTATTTAAAAACAAAATATAATTTTTGTTTAGGACTTAGTCCAAATGCACTAATGGGAAAATTTATTTTTATTTTTTTAAATGTTTACTTTTGAGAGAGAGAGAGTGTGTGAACGGGCAAGGGGCAGAGAGAGAGGGAGACAGAATCTGAAGCAGGCTCTAGGCTCTGAGCTGTCAGCACAGAGCCTGACACAGGGCTTGAACCCACAAATGCGAGATCATGACCTCAGCTGAAGTCAGATGCTTAACCAACTGAGCCACCTAGGGGACCCTCATGGGAAATTCTTTTAATATGATTAAACAGATGTCTCTTAAATACATTTCAAAAATTATGTGGCTAGAATAAATATCCCATCACAAGTTCCACACTTTGTGTCTCCTCTGTCTAGCCATCTCATGGTGTAGCTCTCTACAGAAGGCCACAGCCCCAGAAAGGCCCTGTGTGATGACCCCATCTTATCCTGCTTGTCTTCCTGCATAGAACCTTCTCCCATCTGATAATACATTATATAGTGAATGTGTCTGTTTCTTGTTTCTCTCTGCCAGTAAAATGTATGTTCCAAAAAGGTGGGTTTGTTCACTACTGAATCCCCAGTGCCAAAAACAGTGTTGCATAAATACTGAATAATTATTTGTTTAGTAACAAATGGCTTAAAAAGGGAAAATCTTCCATCTATCTCAAATTTTTGGAGACTACAAAAAATACGTAATGAGACATGAATTATTTTAATCATCTTCAATTACTGAAACCAGTTTATTTGTACAGAGGTGCAGAAGAGATCATCTTTTCTAAGTCAACTGAAAAACTTTCAAAACTACTCCATTTAACAAAATTAATAATGAGGATGAACTTTGCTTAAATTGGGATCTTTTAAAAAACTAAATAGGCTCTAACGTGATCTCCAGTGAAAAATCATTACCTCAAAAGACCAAATACTGATCAGAATATGTGACCACAAATAAGGACTTTCTAATATTAAGCCAGCTAAATATCTATTAATATACTAGCATTTAATTAGATTTCCTAGTCAATCAAGAGCCAAAGAGGATGGAACAAGAAGCCAGGCAAAATATTAGGAACAAGGCAACATACTGGTGTCAGGGATGGCCCCGGTCTTTGATGCATGTCTCCTAGGATCTACTCTTACCCACCCAGAGAGAATTCTCTTCACTGAAACCTTTCCATTGAGAATTCATCCCAAACTGTGATTTGAAGGTTTACTAAAAGGGATAAAATGTCCTCCCTAATGGAACAATCTGAAATACAACAATATCTTTCATCTTGAATATTATTTTTTTAACAGTGAAACTACAGTTTAGTCATAAGCAGAAAAGAAGAGTATGTATAATCACAGTTATTCCAGAATCCAGAAAAAGAAGGTAGGGAAATTTTAGTTACAGTGTTTCTCCATTATTGCCAGGGTAGCCAGTAGCCATGTAATCATATCATACACACACACACACACACACACACACACACACACACACACACACACACAAATCATGTGATTAAAAAGAGGGTCAGCCTGGGGCGCCTGGGTGGCTCAGTTAAGCATCCGACTCCAACTCAGGTCATGGTCTCATGGTTCGTGGGTTCTAGCCCAGCATCGGGCTCTGTGCTGACAGGTAGGAGCCTGGAGCCTGCTTCGAATTCTATGTTTCCTTCTCTCTCTGCTTCTCCCCCTCCTCCTGCTGTCTCTCTCTCTCTCTCTCTCTCTCTCTAAAAAATAAACATTAAAAAAAAAGAGGGTAGGCATAACCCAACTGCATATTTCTCAATCAGTTATGAATAAAGCTACAATATATGATTCCTTTCCTTTGAAATCTAATCACTCTTTGGTAAACTAATATTGTGGGGTTACTGAAACAGTACAAATAATATATCGGACCTCAGACCATAATGACACATCCGTGGCAGCCTGAGGCACTACCCAAAGTTGTATGCTACTGTGTCCCTTAATTACTACATGCACTTTGGAGAAAACTCAGGCACAGTGTGGCCCACGTAAGGATGAAATACAGCCAACAAGGAACAGAGCTATAAAAACCCAGCTTCCTGTCTCAATGTGGTCTCCAGCCCCTAGTCTTCTAGGTTTTCTCCTCCCTTCAGGTACAGTTTGATTTTTTTATCTGAGTATTTATACATAATTCTATTTTATAATGTCTTATTATATTTATATATATTAATATAATTTATAATTCTAGTTTATTATATTTATAAAGTTTTATATATTTATATATTAAAGAACTTATAATTCTATTTTATAATTGTTTACCTTAAGACTATCATAAGCTCTACAAAAAAGAAGTGGCTTATTATCCAATTTCCCACACAGCTTTCACTAACAGATGGATAGCTGCTACTCGTTTTCCAAATATGAGACTAACCTACAATCCAGAAACATAAATGATGTTGGCAAAGATATGGAGAAATAGGTACACTCATCATTGCCAGTGGGGATAGAAAATGATGCAGTCACTGGGAAAAACAGTCTGGCAGTTCCTCAGAAAGTCACACACAGAATTAGCACATGTCCCAGCAACTACGCTGCTAGGTACACACTCAAGAGAAACGAAAACCTATGTCCACAGAGAAATGTGTACACAAGTGTTTACAGCAACATTATTCCTAAGAGCCCAAAGGTGGAAATAACCCAAATATCCCCCAATGATGAATGGATAAAAAACTCACATACCCACACCATTATCAGTCAGTTTTATTTTTTTTTTTATTTTTTTTTTTCAATGTTTATTTATTTTTGGGACAGAGAGAGACAGAGCATGAACGGGGGAGGGGCAGAGAGAGAGGGAGACACAGAATCGGAAACAGGCTCCAGGCTCTGAGCCATCAGCCCAGAGCCCGACGCAGGGCTCGAACTCACGAACCGTGAGATCGTGACCTGGCTGAAGTCGGACGCTTAACCGACTGCGCCACCCAGGCGCCCCATCACTCAGTTTTAAAAAGAACTGAAGTACTGACACACAGTACCACTTGGATAAACCTTGAAAACATGCTAAGTAAAAGAAGCCGGTGACAAAACACGACATGCTGCATGACTCCTTTTACATGAAATGTCCAGAACAGGAAAATCCATAGACAGAAAGCAGATTAGTGGCTGTCAGGGGCTCGGGGGACAGGGAACAGGATGAAAACGTTTTGAAGTAAGAGAGACGTGGTGGTTACATGGCACTGTAATTGCATTACACACCACATAACTTTGTTATGTAAATTTATCTCGATAGAAAAAAGAAGAAAAGATAAATGCAAAACATACCTTGATACTAATAAAATTCATTCCACTCTCTCGTGCAACTACTCCAGCTAGTAAGGTTTTTCCTGTCCCAGGAGGACCATACAGCAGTACTCCCGTTCTTTGTCGTATGGGCAAGTTTGCAAATAGTTCTGGGTACTGAAAAATATAGAACTATGATCAAGAGCTAAGTCTAAAAAAATAACTAAGGAGCAGCCCAAGTCAATGTACAGAGAAAAAGTATTCAGATTGTTAGTAACTGCCACCTTTATTAACAGGATAAGGACAGAAAATAAAATTCCTACTCAGTGCATAAGTTCAAAGGAATTACCACAGATTTTTTTACCAACTGGACCATGGAATACACTCTACATAAAGTGGGCACAACTGCATCAGAACTTCTTCGTGTTTTTTTCCTGGCTTTTAAAAATATTATAAAAAGTACATTAAGAAAATAAAAATCTTTTAACAAGTAGATTGCCTTCCCTTGTATGGTTCACAGGGCAAGTTATGATAACTATGCATATTCAAATATACTCCATCAAAGGAAGAAAAATAATAGAGAAGTATGTGTAATGATAACAGTAAGCTCTCCCAAGAGTCTCCATGCTAAGCAAGCGACTGACTGCTTCTAAATTACCAAAGAGCAAGAAGACTGTGTCAACAGGCGAGCCAGACATCAGGCTACTGTGAGCAATATCCTGGATTCCTCTGTGAGGAATGCCTGTTGAGTTCCACCTGCTGACAAAATTCTAACCCCATCTCTACCTCCATTCTGATCTGAAGAGGCCCCAGAGTCAGCCATCATGCAGAGAGTCTCTGCGCATCTGGTTTCCAATGCCCAGACTCAGCATTTGGCATCATGATCCTGCTGGCAAGTTATTCCACGCCTGCATTCTCTCTGACAGGCTTCAACCTGAAGTCCTGGGCTGCACTCAATGTGTCCCAGGCCCCACTGGCCACACTTCCAGGACTTGCCATCTAGTTACATATAACTGAGGTCCTTACTCACCCATGTCTTTATCTCTCTGCATGGATCCCTGATCTCATGCAATGATACTCGTTTCTCAGGTTTGTGGTTCAAATGCACTACCACCTAGATTCCGAAAAATTTACCTCTGCCCCCTTTATCCTGACACCTGCTTGGTCTATGCTGCCTGCTAACTCTATCTTTCCAGGACTGACACCCAGAGTCTGGAAATCTGGCTTACTCCATCAGTTCTGTGGACCTAGATGACTCTTTCAGCTTATTTCTACCCATTTTTGTTCAAATCCCAGCTGACAGTTCATCTTGCTTTAGTACAATCTGAATGATTCAAGCAAAACACAAGAATTGTGAAATTCACATCAAAATATATTTACTGTAAATATCATCCCAGCTTTCTAAGTTTCTTACAGACAAGGACTTTATCAAATACTTTAAAAAATCCATTAGAGTGCCAAAAATAGTGCTGGCATTTATTTGATAACTCAATAAAGTTTTCTTTAATCAAACTGAGAGTAGGCAAGTCAACACATAAAGCCATTCAGTAATTCTTCTGGGATACTTGATTTTTTTCTTTTTTTCTTTTTTCTTTTTTTTTTAAAAGTTACCTTGGCTGGTAACTGGATAGTATCCATGAGTATCTGCCGAACTTCATGTAATCCACCAATTTTATCCCAGCCCAGGTCCCTAGGTTTATGCAAGTTGACATTTCGCAGAGATGCAGGAAGAAATCCTTGGAGAGCCTTTTGGAAGTCCAATGTTGTTAAAACTAATTCTGTTTAAAAATAAACACAACTTTTGGTAGTCACATCTATGTATGAATCTTCAAAATTTGCTACCATCTTAGCTGGAGATGTCGATTTTCTACTAAACTGCTTGTATACTAAAATAGAATATATTTAATACTTACATTAATGGATGTTAACATTCCTCTGCAACGGAACAATTTCAGATTTTGGTTTGAATAAGAACACATACCTTCTCTGGTGGATATGCTCTGGTGAGAGAGATGAAAATGTATGGCTCGATCCACAAGCAGTGTAAAATCTCTAGCCACAAACCCTTCAGTTCGTTTAGCTATCCAATGCAGGTCAAGATTAGTGAACTTGTTTACATCAGAGCCCAGTTTATTTTTTATTACATTACGTAGCATTTCACATCTTTGCTCCTAAAGAAAAAACACAAAATTCGATTTCTAATTTTACTCAAATTTAAATTTTAGTACATATATTTTGAAAAAATCAGGTTGAATAATCTACGGTGATAGAAAGCAGACTAGTGGTTGTCTGCAGATTGAGTGGGGGGGGGCGGGAATTGCAAAGGGGCACCAGGAAACTTTTGAGAGTGATGGCAATGTTTGCTACCTTAACTGTGGTGATGGTTTTATGGTCTATACATATTAAGTGGTGTATATACAATATATAATGTATATACATGTTAAAACCGATCAAATTGTACACTTTAAATACTGAGTTTGTTGTCTTCAAATATACCTCAATAAAGTTGCAAAAAAAAAATCACATTGATAAACGATTGCTATTTCTTTCTCCAGTAAGAAGCCTTTTTAGTAACATTTGGTTCAAGAGTGGCTTTTGTTGTTGTTCCTATAAAACTTACTTCTAAAATGATATTCAATGACCAATCCCACTACCATTGTGTTATGCTTAATAATAGGTATAATACTTTCTTTTTTCAATAACAGTTAATTAGCACAGGGCCTGAATATTTAGGATAAAAATTTTAAAGGGGAGGTTAAGGGGCGCCTGGGTGGCTCAGTTGGATAAGCGTCTGACTTCGGCTCAGGTCATGATCTCAAGGTTCGTGGGTTCAAGCCCCGCGTCGGGCTCTGTGCTGACAGCTCAGAGACTGGATCCTGCTTCCGATTCTGTTTCTCCCTCTCTCTCTCTCTCTCTCTGCCCCCTGCTGCTCGTACTCTATCTCTCTCTCTCTAAAATAAACAAACACTAAAAAAAAAATTTAAAGAGGAGGTTAAAATGTGTTTGCCAGCCCTAGAACATTCTTCTTTGAGCTCCCTGTCTCTAAAACCATCATGAACAGAAGTCTCCAAAGGGGATGATGGACCATATGTGCTTGTGATATTGTGATTCATAATAAGAAACATATATTTGGTCTTTGTCCTGTTTCTAGCACAGATATCCTAAAACTCTTAGAATTTCCTAAGTGATAAGAGTGATAAAAGTGTCTTGATATTCACAACACACCAGAGTTTATGTTAATGAGGTGATTTTCAGAAAGCACCTAAGGATGGGGGGCTGGTGGCCAGGGAATCAACCATAAATAGAGGGTTGAAACTTGCAGTCCCACCTTTTGGTTCCAGGAAGGGGAAACCTCCAGGACTGGAGGTTGAATTAACTTCAAACGGCCAAAGATTTAATCAATTGTGCCTATGTAATGAAACCTCCACAAAAACCTAAGCCACCATGCCAGGCCCTAAACTTCACAAGGAGAGAAGCAACTTTGTGAGAATAGAACCTCACCCTATGCATCTCTTCATCTGGCTATTGATTTGTATCCTTTAATAGCCTCTGTAATAAACCAGTAATCTACTGAGTAAACTAGTTTCCTGAGTTCTATGAGCTACTCTAGCAAATCAATCAAAGCCAAGGAGTGGGTCGGGGGAATCTCTGATTTATAGCCAGTTGGTCAGAAGCAAAGGTAACAAGCTAGACTTCCAATTGGCATTGGAAGGGGAGAGCAGTCTTAGAGGACTCAGCTCCTATTTAACCTGTGGAATCTGATATCTTGACTAGATGGTATCAGAATTGAATTGAATTGTAGCACACCCATCTGGTGTCTGAGAATTGCTTGGTGGTGTGAGGGAAAAACCCACACATTAGAAATGAGTGCTAAAATCATAGTGGGTAAGGAATACCAGGAGGCACCTGGGTGGCTCAGTCAGTTAAGCATCTGACTCTTGATCTCAGTTCAGGTCATGACCTCAGAGTTCCTAAGTTTGAGCCCCGCATCCAGCTCTGCGCTCACAGTGCAGAGACTCTGAGATTCTCTGTCTCCCTCTCTCTCTCTCTGCCCCTCCCCTGTTTGCGTGGTCTCTCTCTCTCAAAAGAAATAAATAAACTTAAAAAAAAAAAAAGAATATCAGGGTGCTGGTAAAGAAACAATGTTTAATCAAATTTTAAAAAACATTTATTTGGATAAAAGAGGATAAAAACCATAGGATCATTTCAATAGATGCAGAAAAAGCATTTGACAAAGTGCAACAGCCATTCATGATAAAAATCCTCTGCAAAGTAGGCCTAGAGGGAACATACTTCAACATAATAAAGCCCTTATATGAAAATCCCATAGTAAACATCATACTCAATGGTGAAAAACTGAAAGCTTTTCCCTTAAGGTCAGGAATAATACAAGCATGTCTACCCTCACCACTTTTATTCAACATGATACTGAAATCCTAGCCACAGCAATCAGACAACAAAAAGAAATAAAAGATACCCAATTTGGTAAAGATGAAATAAAACTTTCACCATATACAGATGACATGATACCATATGTAGAAAGACCCCATCAAAAAAAGATTAGAACTAAGAAATGAATTCAGTAAAGTTGCAGGATACAAAATCAATGTATAGAAATCTGTTGCATTCTTATACACTAATAATGAAACAGCAGAAACTGAAATTAAGAAAATAATCCCATTTACAACCACACCAAAAATAGTAAGATATCTAGTAATAAACCTAACCAAAGAGGTGAAAGATCTGTACCCTGAAAACCATAAAATACTAATGAAAGAAATTCATGACAACGCAAAGAAATGGGAAAACATTTCACACTCACAGGTTAGAATAACAGATATTGTTAAAATGTCTATACTACCCAAAGCAATCTACATATTTAATGAAATCCCTAAATCAAAATAATACCAGCATTTTTCACAGAATTAGAACAATCCTAAAATTTATATGGAACCAGAAAAGACCCCAAATAGCCAAAGCAATCTTGAAAAAGAAAAACAAAACTGCAGGTGTCACAATTCCAGATTTCTTTTTTTTTTTTTTTTAATTTTTTTTTTAACATTTATTTATTTTTGAGACAGAGAGAGACAGAGTATGAACAGGGGAGGGGCAGAGAGAGAGGGAGACACAGAATCTGAAACAGGCTCCAGGCTCTGAGCTGTCAGCACAGAGCCCGACGCGGGACTCGAACCCACGGACCGTGAGATCACGACCCGAGCCGAAGTCGGACACTTAACCGACCAAGCCACCCAGGCGCCCCGCAATTCCAGATTTCAAGTTATATTACAAAGTGGTAGTAATTAAAACAGTATGGTACTGGCATAAAAATAGACACACAGATCAATGGAACAGAACAGAAAGCACAGAAATAAACCACAATTATATGGTCAATTAATAAATATACAATGGGAAAAAGACAGTCTCTTCAACAAATGGTGTTGGGAAAACTGGATAGCCACATGCAAAAGAATGAAACTGGACCACTTTCTTTCACCATCTACAAAAATAGACTCAAAATGGATTAAAGACCTAAATGTGAGACCTGAAACCATAAAAATCCTTAAAGAAAAAAAAAATCCTTAAAGAGGGCACAGGCAGTAATTTCTCTGACATTAGCCAATGCAACATTTTTCTACATGTAACTCCTGAGGCAAGGGAAATAGAGGCAAAAATGAACTACTGGGATTACATCAAAATAAAAAGCTGCTGCACATTGAAGGAAACAATCAACAAAACTAAAAGGCAGCCTACTGAATAGAAGATATTTTCAAATGACACATTTGATAAAGGCTTAGTATCCAAAATACATAAAGAACTGATAAAACTCAATACCCAAAAACCAAATAATCCAATTAAGAATGGGTAGAAGACATGAAGAGACATTTTTCCAAAGAAGACATCCAGATAGCCAACAGACACATAAAAAGATGCTCAACATCACTCATCATCAGGGAAATGCAAATCACAACTACAGTGAGATATTACCCGACACTCGCCAGAATGGCTAAAATCAAAAACTCAAGAAACAACAAATGTTGGCGAGGATGTGGAGAAAGTGGAACCCTCTTGCACTTTTGGTGGGAATGCAAACTGGTGCAGCCATTGTGGAAAGCATGGAGGTTCCCCAAAAAATTAAAAATAGAACCACCCTACAATCCAGTGATCACACTACTGGGTATTTACCAAAAAAATACAAAAACACTAATTCAAAGGGATACATGCACCCCTATGTTCATTGTAGCATTATTTACAAAAGCCAAACTATGAAAGTAGCCCAAGTGTCCACTGACAGATGAATAGATAAGGTGTGGTATATGCATACAATGG